GGACTTCATGCTGACGCCCCACACACTAAGATTACCCTAACTTACGTTGTATATAAAATATAATTATAATCATGGGAAGGTATTCAGGCTTAATTCAGAGAACTGGAGCACAGATCAAATTCCCTAGATCAAGAGCCCCTCACCAGCGTCAAGGAACCTCCCTTGAGGGGCGCTGTATATAAAGCCCTAAAATATTCTTTAACATTCGTGAAAACCCTTCTTAGGTCAGCATGATGAATGTGTTGTGTTTTCGATGACACGCTCTCCTTTGCATGATGCTCATAGTCTCTCTTCTCTCCTCCCAGATTGCATTCAACATCTGGTTTTCGCTCTTCCTCCCATATTTTATTTCAAAACAAACATTTTATTTCTTTGTGCGGTATAAAAACGTAGTTTACATGTATAATATACTGTTAAGCACAAAATAAAGTCATTAGTATGCTTGTGCATTTATTTAAATCGTGTTTCCCCAAACATCTGTGTCAAACCTACAGGACGGTAACTCAGCATTTATTTCCTCTCTTTTGAGCATTGATTATATTACATTTTCTGGTTTAATCAAACTACAGAGGGGAGGGGCGGGGGCTCGAACTCGTGTAATTACGATTTCGTGAGTCATTTGCTACTTACTTTTTAAAGAGATTCCATTTTTAATATATTAATCATTACTGCTAGCAGAAACGTTATTTAATGTTTATGTGGAAAATATTGTATATTTTCCGAAAATACAGTGTATTTTGTATGTAAATTGATGGAATATATTGCAGTAATAAAAATTAATTTGTAAATAAATAACCAGCGAGAATGGTGAGGGTCGCTGGAGAAGGAGACACCATTGTTTTTGAACTGGGCTGAAGACACGCGAGTGAAAAGTGTATAAATTTCGTCGCTCTGGAGGTTAAATTGTGGTTGAAACCTCCCAAATAGGAGCAGAAATTTTTGGATTTGCAGTCCTGCATAACGTGAGCATTAGGCGAGTGGACAGGACAGTCAAGGAACCCCAGCTAAGTTATGTCTATTTATGTTGGAATTCTGGCCAGTATTTCTTCATATTTTAGGCAGGGATTTATGTAAAACACACCAAGTAATCTCCAGACAAACTGGTGAGTTATTATTATAAATTCTCCTTCAGTGTATATGTAGTCATTCATTAAAATTAACATACAGTCCACATAATTATATTAATGTTTTACCAGAATTCCTGATGTACATTTCATTTGAAATTAATATAGGTCCAGTGACTTGTGGAGATAGAGATTGTAGTAGGCATCGAAGGGGGACATTTTTTGCGACCTAAGTGTCCTAAAATTCCTACTTGTCTCTGTAAATTGATAAAGAATAATTATCTTTGTTACCATTTACTGGTATGTATCTTATAAGGTTCATCCAAGTAATTTTAAATTTTCCACAGTTTATATACTTTTAGTATTTTAGCGGATATAACTGGTGTGGATTAGTAAGTTTGTTTACATGTAACTTCGCTAGCTACGGTACTTTAATGTGACACGGCTGCTAATTTCACTCATGATTATTGCGTCACTATCGACATCTTACTCAGCGTTTCTATTCACAACTTTCAAATTTTATTACATAAAATCAAGCGCTGAACCATTATCATCTCACACACACACTAAAATAAAAAAAAATCAGATTCCAGATAACTATAGGCGCTGACACTAGTCATTGTTTCCCACTGCCCAGAACACTAGGCTTGTATTTAAGTTATTGCATCTCATCCTGCCACATGCACCGATCCACAATGCATAATTCGCGAACGAGAGAAATTATTTACAGATATTACCTCAAACATGAGCAGTTAAATAGATATTTATTAAACAGGTTGGGTGTCCACAAGGCCCGCCTTGCCGTACATAGACCAGTCTAGGTTAGGTAAGGTAAGATTTGTCAGGAAATAGGACAAGTGTTTCCTGACGCCAGTCTTAGTCATTTGACCACTACTGGAGCTTTTGGTCATTGCTGGAGGTCTTCCGCTGGCTTACCGGTCCACCCATTTAATAAATAAGGTTAAAATTATAACCTCTATATGAACCAGGCTATAAATTCTTAAGTCGAAGTGAGAACAGTGACTCCTTTTGCCTCAACCAGGCCTAGATGATTCATGCACTGCAGGAAATTAAATGGCATGACGTAGATGGTCTTGCTAATTTGCACAAAGCCATTAATACCAAAGTCTTACACTAGGCGGACAGTCAGAAGACGCCTTTTATATTATACTACGGGCAGCCATCAACAGTTACGTTCTGACTATCTCAGGGATATCGATCCAACAGCGACTATTCATTCCTAGAATGATTCGAGTTGAAACAAGCTCTTACGTCATAAGGACATTGAAGAATCAAATTTATCAGACCAAATGAAAAATAAAGTTTAGCCCACAGCTGACGCCACACCGTTTTAACTTCACTGGCGCTACTCTCGAGTTTGCTCCTCTCGTCCACAACTCTATTACTAAACCAGTGCTCTCCTGTATCCTTTCTGAAACTATTTTTTCCTAATATGAAACCATTACTGCGATTCCTGTCTTGGTTAGATACTTTAGCACGTTATTTACATCTTTATTTATTCCAGTTTTCCATTTATACACTTTAATCAAATCCCCCTTAATTCTACGCCTTTCTAGAGAGTGCAGATTCAATCCTAGTCCCTATGTCTTGTAATTAAATGAAGAATAAAACTATAAATATATTATTATTATAAGCGCTAAACCTACAAGGTCATACAGCGCTATAAATTATATATAATAAAGACTGTGACAACCGCAGCAGCAGCAGCAACATAGGCAGAAGCAGGAGAATAAAGGAAACAAAGATTAATTACATTATTATTTCATTAAGTAACCCCAGAGACGTACTATACTTTCTATTTCCTATTGTAATATCTTCGATGAGACCTCGGCTTAAATGTTCATTATTGGTTAGAAACGCTGACCAATTGTAGACAACTGGAGTAAAACACACAAGCCCTTACTGGATAACGTTTCATTCCAATATGAGCTTTATGAACGCTTACACTCAAGTCACACTTGTTCAGTAACGGCTTGCCTAGAGTGTCCTTTTTGCCATTATTGATTAGGTGTCTTTGTGAGCACTAAAGAGTTACGACTCTGGCTACAAAGGTATGCGATACCGACAAGTGGAAAAAAATGCAATACCTTAGGGCATGTTTATTGGAAGCTTTTCGGTCCTGTGAATTTGGTTACTCAAATTTTCATTTGGAGTGAATATGGGCCTAGGACCGAAACTTTTCTAATGAGCATGTGCTAAATTGTCGCATTTTCAGGCTGCAGTGACTGCAAAGATAAAAGGTGCTGCAGGATTGCAACCCCAAGAAAAGTTTACACCTTGCATCAAATTCTAAGTGTAGTACGTAAATAACAAAAAGATGCACTGCCGTGACGAGCATTACACAGATAACCCGCACATATGCGTGGGGAGCTTACGACGACGTTTCGGTCCAAGTCGGACCGAAATGTCGTCGTAAGCTCCCCTCTCCTATGTGCGGGTTGTGTGTGTGTAGGACGTAACTGTGAATTCAGTATACATAATTTGACGTTATTTACATTTCAAAAGGCAGAATTATATACCCAGTTTATTTATACCCCCCCCCTGTGCGACATTTCGAACCTTAACAGAAGCTTTAAACATTTAAACACCCACAACAGAAAAAAAAAATACATGTTTTGACCAAGAATAAACATTAATATGGTTCTGGCAAAATCTAAACCAAGTTTAAGTACTTTATTCCAATTCATAAAAAAATCTACCACCGTAGCTCTACATACAAAAGCATACACGCACTCCAACACCCGCAACGATGTTGAACCTTGCACACGATCTCTGAACCTTGAACGCAAACTGTAAAGCTTGTGTACAAAGGCTTGGGACCGTGCATTAGGGAATGACCTCTAAGCAACCACCCGACCTTAAAAAGACCAGCTCGGAATTATAATTATAGTCATGGGGGAGCGCTAAACCCATAGGATTATACAGTGCCTGTGGGGGGGGGGGATGAAAGGTATTCAGACTCAATTCAGGGAACCGGAGCGCAGATCCAATTCCCTAGATCAAGAGCCCCTCACCATCACCTCCCTTGAGGGATCTAGCTCTGAAAGCCTTGTATACATGCCAAGCTTGATACCTGGAAGCGGGAATAACCTTCCATTACCTTGGAAACTTAAATTTGTCCCTCTAAAAGGTAATTTCGACTCTTGAAAGCGTAACTTCATATCTTGAAAAGTTAACCTTGCACCTTGAAAACTGAACATTGCACTCTGAAGAGTCTGAAAAACTTGGTACTCTGAAAACGTAATTTAGAATATTCAAAACACTTTTAATCTTGAATATGATAACGAATTCCAAATCTACCAACCTTGACAAAATAAACACAGTTTCAATCGCTCATTAATTTCTGAAGGATTTTCTAAAACCAACTAATAGAAAAGTGAAGTGTTAACCCAGCACGTAATCCCGGCAATGCTGGGGGAAATCCTAGGAGTTCCTAGATATTGCTGACCGGCCGTAGGTGGGTGGGTGGGCGTCCACCAAGTCCTAGCAAGGTAAGACTACTTCCTTCCTTCCACTCTTAACATTCCGAATTCACGATGCGCGAAACCTGGAGCTGGTTAGTCCCATGATCTCATGGATATAATTATGTGGATACGGCTACTGGAAGTAGGTGGGTAGAGGGTTGGATAAATAGATAAAGGTGTAAATAGACGGGTAGCGAGGGAGCGCCGGCATCTTGTGGCTGCTGCTGCTGGTTCATTCCTTCAGGTGGCGTCGAAATCTTTAAACACACATTTTTCACAATATTCTCAAAGTATTTTTGCATTTTCCACTTTCTACTCCTCTCAAGGCACCTAGAACAGTTTTACTGCGGTTTACCACAAGAGTTTCCTCCAATAAGGATATTAAACCACAATCTCAGATGCACAAACAATATGTTTACACGAAAGGAAAAAAAAATATTGGACTATTTACCTCAGAATGAGACTTATGGGTGCGTATTTCCACCCCTGCGACTACCTCCAGACACTATACTGCAGTAACACTAGTGTGCCGGGTGTAAAAACGCACTTTATCCATGGATCAAGTATAGCAGGAAGCACGAGCACCACCCCCACCAACCAGCGACACCTGACTAACTTAACTTCACCTGGACACCCAAGACATTCCTGCCGGTTGCCATCAACATCTATTTCGTTTATTCATTGTATTTCCTCTCTATGTAAGACACTACTTGTAAATTTACCATCCGTATAGAAGACAAGTGCTAGCAAATTTCTAATATTGGTCAATTATCACTCAGATCTCTCTGGTATTTCAAATATAATTGTTGTATTTGATGTGTGTGAAACCTTCTGTCATGAAGATAAGTTCATCATTTAAGTTACCCTTAAAACCTCGCCAAAGAGGAAACATTTCCAGTCATATAGATGTATATCATGTTGTGAATCTCGTGTCTGCTGGTGCTAAATACCCGAGAAATAACGTACAAGCTCACGAGATAATGTGGTGTGTTCTTCAATGTATTTACAAAAAACAAAAACCAGCATCTTGGTGGACACAGCAAGCCGAGCCAAGACGCTCTCTCACACACCTTCGTTACATTCCAAAATTATATTCAACCTATCACTACTTCATCTTCTCTCATCGTTGGCTATCATTTCCACAGGATAAAATGAAACAAAATAGTCTGCAAAACAGTGTTTAAAATCCCAGCTTCCCCGGTTCAGGGAGATAACGTTGGTTATGAGAAAAGTTGAACAATGTTGAGTGATGGTTGCTGGAGGCCTGGGCGAGGTGTTCACCTCACACACTAAGGCGCACTAGAAGAAAGTCTCGACGGGTTTTTAGCATCAATAACTCCTCCCCCCCCCCCCGAGGTAATAACATGCTAAAGAGAAATCTCATGTTACAATGAATGGAAAAGTTTAGTTGTTCCGCTTGAATTATTATTATTATTATAATCAAGGGTGAAGCGCAACCCGAGGATTAATACAGCGCCTGGGGGTGGGATGTGAAGTCATTCAGCTTTAATTCGGGGAACTTGGAGCACAGATCCAATTCCCTAAACTCAAGAGCCCCTCACCAACAAACAAGGAACCTCCGAGGGTTCCGCTGGGAACAAGCCACATGGAGAGCAATTATTTTGATTGGCCACCTCAGAATTATACAATAATGTTCTGTCTGTTTTACGTCTGTGGTGAATTTGAAGTTATTATTTGTACTTTTGCATACTTTCACGTGAAGCGCTAAACCCGTGGTGGATTATTATTATAATCAAGGGGGAAGCGCTAAACCCGGAGGATTATACAGCGCCTAGGGATGTGGAAGGCATTCAGCTTAATTCGGATTATTATAATCAAGAGGGAAGCGCTAAACCCGGGGGATTATACAGCGCCTGGGGGGCGGGAAAGTGGAAGGCATTCAGTTCCTAATTCAGGGGAACTGGAGCACAGATCCAATTCCCTAAATCAAGAGCCCCTCACCAACATCAAGGAACCTTCCTTGAGGGGACCCGTGGTGGAGGCTCAGTCCTTCAGTTAATCATGAGCCAGAAATGTTAACATATTTCTCTACATTATACTATTATTATAAAGGGGGAAGCGCTAAACCCGTAGGATTATACAGCGCTTGTGGGGGGTATCCAGGAACTGGAGCACAGATCCAGTTCCCTAGATCAAGAGCCCCTCACCAGCATCAAGGAACCTTCCTTGAGGTGATTATTATTATTATTATTATAATCAAGGGGGAAGCACTAAACCCGTAGGATTATACAGCGCCTATGGGGGGATGGAAGGCATTCAGGCTTAATTCAGGGAACTGGAGCACAGATCCAATTCCCTAGATCAAGAGCCCCTCACCAGCGTCAAGGAGCCTTCCTTGAGGGGGTGATTATTATTAAAATCAAGCTCTAGACCTATATGGGTTAAAGAGCACTTATGCTATTTTTTGCGATATATTCCATTTTATTTATATTCATTGGGGTGCTAAACCCAAATTATTATTATTATAATCAAAAAGAAGCGCTAAGCCATAAGGGCTATACAGCGTGCTAAACCCAAAGGGATCATACATTATATTCACACGATATATATACATTATATTCATCAAAATGAGCTAAATCCATGACTCATCAAGCTTATTTATATATATTTCCTCTATTATAATATTCACAGGGAAGAACAAAGCACGTAGACAGGTAGTCAAGAATGAACCCAGGAAATAATTAGTAGTTCAAACTCCTTGGATCTAGAGTTATTCACCAGTATCATGGAACCTCTCCCCCCCCCCTTAAAGAGAACACCATACTCAAGGATTACTTTTACACTCATGAAAGGATGGTGAGCGCTAAAACTGAAGGGAGGTCACGCAGCACAAACAATACTTACATAAATTCTTCCTGTGCCAGAAAAACTACAAAATAATTTATGATATTTGTAAAATGTGATCCTTTTTATACAGTACCTAATGAATACTTTCATGGGGGAGTGCTAAACCCTTAGGGGTCATTCAGCACCTGGGGGAATGGAAGGTATTCAGGTTCAATCCAATGAATAGGAGCACAGGTTCAATTCCTTACATCAAGAGCCTTTCACCAGCATCAAGGAACCCACTTGAGGGGAGCTTCTGAGGGTCATTGACAGGAATGAGAAATGTCTGTCACAAGAATATATCGTTGGACAATATGAAAAATATATTTCTTATTTTCTTTTATAATTACAATTATGTATTATATTCATCGGAAGTGCTATTATTATCTTCAAAAAATTGAGCTAAAATAATTTTTCATTCAATGTTTTTTGTAGAGTGTGAAGTGCAGATTAGTCAGGTACATCAGGTAGTTCATTATGGAGATCTAGTTTCACCCTGAATTATGTTATGTTACTGGGAAGTGTTACACAAGTTGACAGTGCCTGGAAAATGCGAGGGAATTAGGTATGATCTGAGCAAAGGGAGAGTAGCTCCAAATCCTTCGATCAAGAGTCCTTCACCAGCATCAAGGAGTCAAACCCCGACGCCAGATGGATGTATACCTGAGGGGAGTGTACCTGGAGGGTGTTCTGGGGGTCAACACCCCTATGGCCCAGTCCATGTACCTGGAGAGAGTTCCAGGGGTCAACGCCCCCGCGGCCCGGTCTGTGACCAGGCCTCCTGGTGGATCAGAGCCTGATCAACCAGGCTGTTACTGCTGGCTGCACACAAACCAACGTACGAGCCACAGCCCCGCTGATCAGGAACCGACTTTAGGTGCTTGTCCAGTGCCAGCTTGAAGACTGCCAGGGGACTGTTGGTAATCCCCCTTATGTATGCTGGGAGGCAGTTGAACAGTCTCGGGCCCCTGACACTTATTGTATGGTCTCTTAACGTGCTAGTGACACCCCTGCTTTTCATTGGGGGATGTTGCATCGTCTGCCAAGTCTTTTGCTTTCGTAGTGAGTGATTTTCGTGTGCAAGTTAGGTACTAGTCCCTCTAGGATTTTCCAGGTGTATATAATCATGTATCTCTCCTGCCTGCGTTCCAGGGAATACAGGTTCAGGAACCTCAAGCGCTCCCAGTAATTGAGGTGTTTTATCTCCGTTATGCGCGCCATGAAGGTTCTCTGTACATTTTCTAGGTCAGCAATTTCACCTGCCTTGAAAGGTGCTGTTAGTGTGCAGCAATATTCCAGCCTAGATAGAACAAGTGACCTGAAGAGTGTCATCATGGGCTTGGCATCCCTCGTTTTGAAGGTTCTCATTATCCATCCTGTCATTTTTCTAGCAGATGCGATCGATACAATGTTATGGTCCTTGAAGGTGAGATCCTCCGACCTGATCACTCCCAGGTCTTTGACGTTGGTGTTTCGCTCTATTTTGTGGCCAGAATTTGTTTTGTACTCTGATGAAGATTTAATTTCCTCGTGTTTACCATATCTGAGTAATTGAAATTTCTCATCGTTGAACTTCATATTGTTTTCTGCAGCCCACTGAAAGATTTGGTTGATGTCCGCCTGGAGCCTTGCAGTGTTTGCAATGGAAGACACTGTCATGCAGATTCGGGTGTCATCTGCAAAGGAAGACACGGTGCTGTGGCTGACATCCTTGTCTATGTCAGATATGAGGATGAGGAACAAGATGGGAGCGAGTACTGTGCCTTGTGGAACAGAGCTTTTCACCGTGCCTGCCTCGGACTTTACTCTGTTGACTACTACTCTCTGTGTTCTGTTAGTGAGGAAATTATAGATCCATCGACCGACTTTTCCTGTTATTCCTTTAGCACGCATTTTGTGCGCTATTACGCCATGGTCACACTTGTAGGGTACATTTATGTAACACTTTTATAACTATATTATTATTATCTACATTAGCATATTCATGGGGAAGTGTTCAACCAGTAGTTTCCAAAAAGTACACAAAGAATGAGGTAATTTGGCTTGATCCAGGGGAGATTATTATCATCATAACTAAGCACTACACCCATAAAAGGAAGGGGAGAGTTGCTCCAATTCCTTGAATCAAAAGTCCTTCACCTGCATCAAGGCACTCCCTTGTAGGGCCCATTCTCTATTGCTCACTAAATATGATAATGTGAATACATTATCAGGCTTTAATATGAAAGTGAAAAAGGACTATGTTTCACTTTGCAGTGGTAGCCCAGAACCTAACCTGCTGTATAAGTGGGGTCCTCCTGTACCAGGAACCTAATTGCAATATGATGAGTAAAAATTTGTCCTTTAATTCAGACCAAAGCTGCTGCCAGTGGTATCAAGGTCTCTGAGAGAACACTGGGAAATAGTCTCCCCCCCCTAAAGGGGCCCTTTCCTATGGAAGACTGACAGCTCATGAATGGCAGAACAAGCAGCTGAAACTGCACAGTCACTTCCCTGAATTCTAATGCATTTAGGGGGCACAGCAAGAAGACTTCTTTGTGCTTGCTAGACATGCAGTATAACCATTGTTGTATACAAAGAATGATAGGATATGGGTAACCAAATTTTAAGATATCTTGTAATACATTTTGGAAGTTGAAGCAATAATGAATGAGGAAGTGGACATGGGTGAAATGTTCATGATAACAAAATACAGTGATCCCCTGCTTAACAACTTGGCATAAAATCATTTTGGAAAAAGACCTCCCAAAAAATCCTAGAAATGTTTCCCTGCTAAATG